AAAAAGGACCATGCTAAGCAAAGTATTGACACAAAATTTAAGGATCTCACTGACAATACTTTAGTGTATAAATTCATTTTCTAAATCTTCTCCATAACCAAACAGAAGGATTTTCATAAGGAACCTCCATATTTCCTTTTCTGCTCTTTCACCCATCATCACATAAACATCCTCCAGCAAAATTTAAAACATAAAGAAAGACCAGATGCCTTGACATGCTTACTCCCATTTAATTCTTCTTATTTATTTTGACTTTCTTTAGCCAAATTTAATCAGGGAAAGATCTGCATTAACAGCATGGACTTTCCATTTGAAATCCATCACACAACTCTGCAGTCTTTTATTTTTTCTGTGCTCCTGAAATGTCCTTGTGGAAGTGGCTGGGACTTCGGCATGATGGGTCCATGGCTCGGTCTTCAGTCTTCCTCTCTTCTTCCTGATGACAGCCCTGCTGGGACTCTCAGCCCTTTCACAACCTGCACACACGTTTAATGCTGGCACGAAGGTCACTACCACAATGTAGGTGTTAAAAGGTTGCATTGCATTTCTCATGGTTGAATTTGGTTTTTTTCCTGAGTTTCCTAAGTAGAAAAACTTAATCTAGTCACTGCCAAGTAAACAGCCAAGCTAGGTGACACTTCACTAATGCTGACCTTCAACTTGGGGATCCTTGAATATCTTCCTTCTCCCCTCATCAAGTTTCATGGGATAACCAGGTAACATCACATCTGTAATAGTGTATATATTTCAGCCAAAGTCTCTATGCACTCTTTTGGACTTCACCACTGGGCCATAGTCACCTAGACAGTCACATCCTTATGCAATTCCTCCAGAGACTGTTCCTCTTCCCTCTCCTGAGATCCATGCTCACCCACTGGTACGCCCATTGTGTTCTAAACTTCTCTAAACCTTTACATGCTTTGAACAAAGGATCCTTTCAGAAGAATTGTTTTGCTTACTATTAACCTGAAGCATAAATAACTAAAGTGTGATTTCATAATTTTCTTTAGCTCTATGAAGAATAGAGATATCAAATTCATGAGAAATTAACTCCATCTACTTGATGCAGGGAGTAAAACTCGTCTGAATCCAGATGCAAAGGTAACCGCAATGTCAGAGGAGCAGTGTTCCCGGCGGGCAGCCAGAGGATGGCTGCAAACCTTTCACATGAGGCCCATTCCATCCACCCAGAGTCCAGTCCTTTAATTCTAAAACACACATACAGACTTTTCCTCTCCTCATCTACAGCTACAGGCTTCCTATCTGCCAGAGCAGGTGGTCTAGTTGGAACTAGAACTATGAACAGAATTTTAAACACATTTATGTATAGAGTAGGGGAAGAAATATTGAAAAAACATTTAATGTAGTGTGATTACCCAAAAGTTCTTCATATTAAAATCATTAGTAAGCATTTAGCAGGATACGAGCGACACCTTTAAATAAAATGAAAAAGTTACAAGCACGTATTAAATTATGTGCATGATTTTATGTTTTCCACCTAATTTGACAGTGTTGCACAAATTATATTTACATGACACAATCAAAACCCAGGAATTATAATGTGTTTGAAAAAGAATACAAATCTTAAAATAGTCTTAAATAAACAGAAATTTCAAAAATTATTTACATTAGTTAAACTGTTAAATTGTTGAAATCTAGGCATCTAAATTTTGAACACAAGAAAGTCTTTATAAACGTTTTTCTTGAGGGCTGGGTTCTGACTACGAGTGGAGTGCTTGCCTAGTATGTGCAAAGCTCTGGTTTAAATCCCTGGCCTTGCAAAACAATAAACTAAAAAGGCAAAGTATTTCACTTCAAATAGTTCCATTCAGTGGTTTTATTCAGTGGTTTACACCAACTATTAATGTTCTGAGAAATGCCTGGGTCTTTCATAGTGAACATTACTACTTTTGTGGTGAGGATTTTATAAAAAGTGTGTCTTTTTCTATTACATCATCTTCACCCAGTGCTGATGCAATTTGAACCTGCACACATGATCAATGGTTCACTTGACATAAAAAAGCTTTGCTGAGCATGTGAATCATTCTGGTAAGTGTCCAGGGCAATAGCATCTGATATGTTTTTATGTCTTCTGAAATGCTGCGTTTCATTTTCAAGAATGATTCATAAGTACCTTCATCTAATAAAGCAAATTCTGCACTGTATAGCCCATTTTGTAAACACATCAGTTAACACCATCTGACTGACTCCTAATGTGCTAGAAGCTGGAGGGCCAGAGGGTTGAAGGTTCCCCATGGTGCCCTTCTCCTGAGGATAATAACGCTTGTCACTGTCAGTGCTTATAACTGAGGTCTAAGTGGGAGTATTCATCCTGCCATCTTTACCTGTGAAAAATCCGCACAGATTTCTCAGCCAAAATTAGAATTTTTATGGAAAACCTTCAGCTGTCTTGGCAGAAAAGACAGGTACTTACCCTCCAAATGAGTAAAGACAGAATGAATTTGAGGATCCAGAATTAAAAATATGAACACCATATCACTATATGGCTAAAAATCTTGAAATTTTTCAATGTGTATACATATAATTTTACAACCGTATTATTTAAAAAAGATTATTGACTACCAAAGCTTGTTTTTAAAAAGTAATTTGCCACCAAAATACATTGAAGTCATAAAGCCAGAGGAAGTCATTTGTGTCCTTTAGGCATTCAATAACTACTATGCTAATATTATTGTTATAATGACAGTTACAGAGAAATCAATAAAATCTATATGAAATATATATACAGATAGAGATGGAAAAATTGACAAAATTAGTATAAAATCTCAACTTAAATTTTTATTTCTCATTTTACATTTAAAAAATCCTTATCTCTTTTTTTTTCAGCCAGATTAATTATAACAATAATGGTTGTATGTATGAATCATAGCTAGTCTCTTTTAAGAAAATCAATAGATTCTATAACTGTAAAAGATTAATGTTAGAATCTAAACTGTGGTGCCTGGTGGCCTGTAATCCTAGCACTTGGGAGGCTGAGGCAGGAGGATTGTTGCAAGTTCCAGACTAGACTGGGCAAAACTGTAAGTTCAAGGTGAGCCTGAACTGCGTAGTGAGATCCTGTGTTGAAAGGACACGCGCGTGCGTGCGCGCGCACACACACACACACACTCATACACACATGAATCTGAAATTTGCAATGAAAATGAAACTTTATGAAGAAGTGCCACTTCATAAATCATTTAGATCACTTTACTGAATTTTTTTCTGTCATTTCCCAAATCTCTCTGTGAGTGTGAAAGCAGCAGGACAGGAGAATGACCAAGCGTTGATGCAGCCCCATCACTGCCCTGAAGGTGAGTCAGGAGCTTCGTTCATCCTGGCCTCCTCCCGGTGAGCAGTCCGCTCTGTGCTGCAGGCTGCAGGCCTTCCTGCCTCCTTCCTCCGCCGCACCCACGCGTGTCCCCGTCCTCCCTCGCCAGCCCAGGCCATCTCCGCGCTGTGCTTCCACGGCTGTTAAGTCTGATCCGGAATGCGGTCCTGGAACACTTACAGCACAGCCTGCGAGCTGCCTCCTGGGCTTTCACTCGGTGCTGCTGCTAAATTTAAAACACTTGAACCTCTGCTAGATACCTGGCAGTGTCTGAGCTCTTACTGTAGAACTTGTATTTTCACACATTTATTCTGGAGCTTTCAGTATGGCTCTTTTCTATTTTTAATGTTTTGCTGAATTGTTATACCTATTCAAAAATATGCAACTCATAATTTTGCAGTTCAGTGAAACATTACAGTTATTTTATTCTCGTAACAAAATCTGAATGCTTTCCCTCTGAGATTAAGCTGTTCTCTGTATACTCACGATTGCATCATACTAAGTAAAACAGTATTGCCGGACTTGGTGGCTCAGGCCTGAAATCCCAGAACTCAGGAGGATTTTCAGGAGACATTTGAAGCCAGCTGAGGCTACAAAGTAAGTTCAAAACTTGACTGAACTACATAGCAAAAAAAAAAAAAAAAAAAAAAAAAAATGTGTCTAGCTACTCGGGACAAAATCCTGGTGCCTTCCTTTATTCCACTCTTTGTTACATGCACCCAGACCACTAATAAAATCTTAACAGTGCAGATTTCAAAACATATCCAGAATTAATTATACTGTCATCTATACTTGTCTTTATCTATACTGTAGGTGTCTTGTTCATAATCACTTTGTCTGAGGTTTACAGTCACGTCCATCCTTCCCTTTTTGAGCAGTGATGTTTTCAAAGTATCAGTCATATTCTGTCAGTCCCGGGCCCTAAACATCCTGTAGGACCCCTGTGGAGCTCACATTTAAAGACCTTTAAACATCAGCTCTAGACTCTGGTTTTGTCCCCCAGGTTAGTTCCCAATCCTTCTATGGTCAGGGTGGCCTCCCTGCCGTTTTTAAAACACTGGACATCGCTCTCTTTTGGAGCTTTTCGGCCAGCTGTCTCCTTTGCTGCAATCCACATTTTTCCGACTCTGCACTCTCTGGTTGGCTTTGTGTGTGCTTACGCTTCATCAAAAATAAACACATAACAAAATATCCAGTTAATTTGTAGTGGCAAATAAAAAATAACTATTTTAGGATGAAAATGTCACATATTATATTTGAGATATAATTTTACCAAAAAATTAATGATTTATGCGAATTTGACTAAAATCCTTAAGAGAGATGGAAGAAAAACCAACCTCCCTGTTACACCTGTTTTGTTGAAAAATAATCCATTAGTTACTTAAACAGAGAAGCCACGTATGGAGAGTCACTGCGCTCATCCCTAGATGCAGAGAAGACAAGCTTGCTTGAAGCAGGTATCTGCATGAGGCCTATTTCTGCTTGATTTTGCTGCCACTCATATCTCAGTTTACCTCTGCTCCTGTCTCTCAAGACATACTCACCTGTAACCACACCCGCCTCAGCCATGGCCTGCACTTGGATAGGTGCTGACGGCACACCTGGCCGCTGCTAGGATCAAAGTGAAGTAGAAATAACAGCTTTTGTTGAAATTAAAACAAAACGACAGTTTTCTGTGAAAATCTAGCTATAATAAGTGTTTAAACTATGGCAAAAGTAAGTGGACTCAATCTTTGCTCAGAGAAGGAAGTGGTTCCCAAGAGGATAGAACAGGCCAAAGACTAATTAGCAGGCTAATGAAGATACATCACCAAATAGCTGTGTAAAGGAGCGCTCCATCCACTCTGGCAAGTGCAGTGGAAAATTTAAAAGATGAAGAAAGAACTGGACACATGCATGAAAATCCTCCACCCCCCTTCCCAATGTACTAAAGTTTCACAGATACAAAGACAATTTCCAGTGAAATATATGAAAAATGTTTCATTGTCTCTAATTTCCATCTCCAGAGGTTCTTTGGAAACTGTCATCATTGTAATTTCCTCCTGAAGAACCGACACAAAGACTCTTGTGACTCCAGAAAAACCCTGAAGCACTTTCAGACTTCAGCCTGGGAGGAAAGTGACCAGCTGAAGAGTCAAATTACCACCTTCAGGTAATTTCTTGACAGGCGAAAGAACTATCTTCTGGGACCAGCAGATCTCAAGTCTTTCACCTATATGCAGAAATCAATTGCTCGAGTATGTTATTACCTCAGTGTTATGCTTGAGACCCTCCATGAATCTGCCATACACTTCAAGCTAAGTCTAGCCCCAGTAATCCAAATGCTTGATCTTTAGTTGTCTAATTGGGAATGAAATTTCTCTTAGAAAAATTTCTCTTTTAACCTAACAGTGAAACAGGTCAGGAAGATAACAATCTATGAAGAACAATGTTCAAAAGTACAAGTTGCAGAAATAATTCATACCTAATCAGAAGATATCTTTAGTGTCTCCAGGCTCCCAAATTTGTTCTTTTAACCCAAAATATGCTTGCTTTCTTCCTGTTCTGGTCCTCTCAAGCCGATATCTCAAAGATGCTCTCACAAGAAGAGTCACTTTTGCAAAGCATGTTTTCCTAGGTACAGCCTGTCCTTCCATTTCTAGACCCCAGAGATTCAAAATCCTCATTACTTATTCATTTAAAAAAATTTCTAAATATTCCTTTTGAAGAAAAGTCAGCAACTTAGTCAAGTTGAAAGTTAGCATTTTGAATGCTACATATTTCAAAAGCTCAAATACAGAAGAAATCATTCTGTTCCAGAGAAAGTTCTGGCACAATGAGCAGGTGATCAACACAATGGATAGAAAAATAAACTCTGACCTTTGAAATTGCCACACCACCTAAAAAACTGGCAAAAATGCCGTGCAAGCTTGCCTTTGGGTATGTACACAGCTGCTGGTTTCTAGCCACTTTTTAAGCCACAGTGTACCCATACTGTCACTGTTTATGAGATTCTTGAAGGAAACCATTGTGTTGATTTAGGCTGCATTTAGTTTCCCTGGATTTTCGGCCAGACTTTGTTTCCTTTGGCTTCTCTCTGGTTGCCAAGGCAGGTGCTCTGTTCTTGTTTGTAAATGTCTTCATTGATTTTTGCTGTCACACCTATTTTCCTTGTACTAAACTTTAATCCTCGGTATATGTCTCAGGTGAGTTTGTCCTTTTGTGTAAATGAATTATTAGCCCATAGCTTTTTTAATGGAAATCCTACAGTTGCTTGATACATCCCCTAAAGTTTTCATGGGCCTTGAGGAATCACTTTGTAAACTTCTGAATTGGCTCTGAATTTCTCCTAGTATTTAATATTCTAAAAACATGCACATTATAAAATATTAAACTTAGATTTAAACAGATTTGCAATGCAAAAGGTGCCACCGTGTTAGTTTATCTTTTACATGGTTTTGTGGGTTGGTGTTACTAAACCATAGAAATCAAAGAAGTGCAAACTTTCTATCACAGATTTCATAATTAGGTTTCAGTAAAGACAGAGCTCTGCTGACAGGATCAGTTTGATTTTTTTTTTTTTTTTGGTTTTTTAACCTTCATACTTTATTTGCAGAAAAACTGCCAGCTATGAATCCACACTTCCGATTACCAGTAGACCTTAGCCACAAGTGAACCCAGCATAACGTGTCCCTTAGTTTTAGAATCGTTGACTCATCCTATACAACCATTTGCCAAAGATTAGGCTTAAATTAGATAGTTCACTAGAGCAGTGTCTTTTGTAGCATAGATCTGTGTTTATAAAATATAGAATATTGTACTATAAGTTGCAGGGTTTTTTAATTTAAAAATAACTAAAGCCAAAGGAGAAAATATCAAATGCACATGTTGCCAATGGAAAGTGCGCCCTCGTGTGGTAAGGCGCAGCACAGTGTGAGCACATTAAGGAACATACTTTACCTAGCTTTATGTTGATCTCTTGTTTTGGGACGTGTATTATGCCCACTGCAGCCATTAACATTGATTTAGCGTTAAAGTCTATCTCAGCACAAGAATCTGAGCAGCAGGAGACAATTAGTGTAACAGACACTTAAAATCAATTAGCCACAGAAAATTCAGGCAAAATATTCTAAATAACCAGATCCATCCAGAAATAATAAGACTCAATTTGTTAATGTCTCCAATTTTGCATTCATTTCACTTACTTTTTAAAATTTTCATATTCCTGAATGAAAACTTAATTGACAAAAACAAAAAAAAAATTGCTCTGATAACATATTACCAACAATATATTTTCTTTCACAGACACATATACATACACACATGCACCCCATTTCAGTGAGGGAATCCCTTAGCCTATTACCTTTATCTTGTGCTCCTCAAAAGACCCCTAACGGCTTTTATTTTACCGTCCCCCCATCAAGCAACATATGCGTAAATGGAGTTGTATAATGTCTAAGCTAAAATGGCTCTGTAAGTTCATAAACCTGAAGACTCCGCATCCTAAACTAATCTTAGTGACAGACTCTATACAGCGTGTGTTCATTAACGGATCTATCAGATATCTGACAGTGTTTCGAGCATGAAGTCAAATGTGAAGTCATAGTGGTTAACACGTTCTGAGCCTTCTGTGAGATCGGTGGAGAGTAAAGAGATACTGAGCTGAGAGCAGAGTACAGGACCTCAAGACTGCCCATCAGGGAGCAGATTGTCCCTCAGGGGACTCAGGCGCCTCAGGTTTCACAACACCAGGAGGTGACAAGCTGGAAGAGTTAGGAAAGTCCCCAACTTTGATAAGGGCAACATTTCTGTCTAGTGAGTCCTGACTCTGTCGGACAGTGTGCAAAGCACTCCCTAGAATGTTTCTTTCTCACATAGTTCCACTAAACAAACACTATTAATTATAATTTTGAAGTTGAGAAATACAGGGCCTGGAGAGGTGACTGTGAGCACCGCAGGTGAAATGTAGCAGAGGTAGGATGGTCTGCTCCAAGCGCTTTACTGTCCCACTGAAACTGAGACGGGATGAGAAGTCCTAGGAGAAAGCATTCATAGGATTAAAGGGAAAGATCACTAGGTTGGAGAAAGAGGAAGATCAGGGAATTCTGAAAACAAAAATAAAACATTGAAATCCATGATCCATTGTTTTAGCCGTATGTAAATCAAGATATATTTATTCCACTTATCTGTAAGTTCTAGTCTCAAGGTCTATATAACCAAAGGCCAAAATTAGAAGGATCGATAGATAAATTCCTTTCCAAATAAATCAAGAATTTCCTTAAAGATGTTCACCAACTTCCAGAGAGTAAAGCAGCACGGGAAGCAGCTGCCAGGCCCGTCCGGTGCTCCTGGAGACCAGATTCCCTCCACATTCTCGGGGCTGCCAGCTGCAAAAATACTTCTCCCATGCCACAGATGCAGGCACACTCGATGCGCAGTAACAAAGAACACCCAAGCCTCAGGGGCTTGAGGCCATGAGGTCCGTTTCTCTCTTACTCTGTCTTTTGAGGCTTCCTTTGACTCTGCTCCACCGAACTGAACTGGCCAAAAATGCAACAACTGAAATACCACCAGCAGCCAAAACGAAAAGAGAAAGTGGTGCGGCACCTCAGAGCTCCTGGCCAGAGCAGACACGGCTGCTTCTTCATTATATTTACCTGGTAGGAAGAAGTCAGTAAGTCCAAAGTCAAGGCACCAGAATTTTCCAAGCCTTCATCAGGAGGAAGGATGAATTTGGGAGCCATTACTAATGGGTGACGCACGTATTTTCTCACTTAATTGATGGATGTTGACTACGACCGGATAAAATTCTACCTTGTTTGTCTAAAAATATCTTTTTTGATATGATCTCTACCTGCTCTACCTCATCTCTTCTCAATTTCCACAGGCATCCTGTGTTCCAATTATCTTGGATCAGTGGTTACCCCCCAAATTATCTAGCTATGTCATGCCTCAGGCAGTTGGATCTAGTGGACACTCTGCCCTGCGAAATTCTTGTTTCCTGCAGGGACCAGCTTAGGGGTTTCCCACACTAAAAAGCTTGTCAGGCCACATGACCTCTGCTCTGCCCACAGACTGACTTGTCATTATTCTCATTAAAAGCACCACATTCACTTGCTCATATGAGAATGTAAGTTCTCTAAGAGCTGAATTTCTGGATTATTTCTGGCACTTAGCAAATAGTGTTTGGTTGAAGAAATAAAGTCATCTGTATTTAATAGTGATACGGAGGGAAGAAACTCCTCAACTCGTAGGTGTCCATACAAGTTCATGTTCACTAAAATTGAAGAATGAATTCTAGTAACAACAGAGGTTAAGAGCAGAATATATTTATTGAGAGAAAGAAAGCTTCTATATGAGAGACAGACAGGAGGGGGCCCCAGTGGGTCACCAAGGACCCTGCCTTTTCTAGGGATTTTTATAGAGCAAAATCACAAGGTGAGGCGGGTTCAAGGTGGGGGGAAAATGGGAACTCACAAAATGGGCATGAAATGGGATAGAACTGTGGTCAATCAACAAGATTACCAGCATAATTGCTCAGGTAAAATTGATTAACTAGGGATCAAATGGGACAGCTATGTAGCCAGAACAGAGGCTTTTTCTGTAGGGATTGAGTTAGTGGCTCCTGGCTTTCTTAAGGTGACAAAAGCCTATTGAGAATATCAATCCCTGCTGTTTATCCTTAGGTTGGGGGTGCGTTTGTTTTATCTTTTGTTTTGAGGGCTGGCCCACAGCGGGAGTTGCCTGTCTCCTCAGCCATTGCAGTTGCCAGGCATCTGATCTCCTGCACTGGCTTCTTGGAGCATCTAGCCCTGTCTGACTGCCCATAATACTTCTGCCTAGTTCAGCTGCCTTTAACAATAGGACTTACCAGAATTTATCAAAAGAAGTACCATCAACAAACCATGGAATTATAAAAGAAAAATGTGAGACAGCAAAATGATAATAGTAACCTTTCTTTATTTGATACTACCAACATTTTGCCTAAGTAACTGGGTTCTTTTGTAATTCAACCTGGGAGTTATTTTAAATTGGAGTGGAGTGTTCTGTGTACATGAATCCGGTTGGAGGCTTTTTCAAACTCCTTCTTCTTACAGAGACTGGAAAATCACCACGGTGCATCAAATTTCCTCTACTTCTAGCGTGGCTTAATGAAAATCATTACTGTGCTGAGTGATGCAAATTCTTGCAGATACCTGTAAGTAGAGAATCTGTCTAGATCACAGGGAAGTGAACACATTCAGAGAAGTTAGTGAGAATACTCACCTACTAAGGCCTGAATTGGGATTCAAGTCTAAGATGCTTTTATATGTGAATGCCTGCTATCAACATACCACCTACACAACAAATATAGGCAAACACACCGAACTGCACATACAAAAACTTACTCTAGTCATGCAGTAATGGGAATTGGTTGTTAAAAAGAGTTTTAAAAAACCCTACCCTGTGCTTCAATGAGAACCTTCTCTCAATAGTATTTTATCCAGAGGTCACTTATAAATTATAAAAGTCACGTTTTACCACTTATGCCACTGAGGTAGTGCCCCAACTTTTTGCTGATGTCCTGCTTCCTAAGCAGCTGCCATTTTTGTCAGTGTGGCCATGTGAGTGTGTCAGTGCTGATCCTGTGGGTTTGTGACGGTGAAACACCCCACAACTGCCTGGCCATTCCATCCACACCCAGACCCACACACATCCTTGAATGCTTTTTTTTTAAATATGCAAAGGAAAAGAGCAATGCATTTGGTTTCTAAGAATTCTCCCACCAAGAACTGCCAGAGCTTTGTCAAACACTTCCTCCTTTAATGCACACCTTCACTCCAGGCCAGCGTTTCACAATTCCTTTCTAAACTCAG